TGCTAAGGGCCACTTCCCATTTTCCCTGCTTTGTGGGATGGTTTCGTTGCCATGGCAATGCAGGTTGTGTCTGTGTGTGTGTCTGTGGTGTGTTTGGGAGGCGCTGCTGGACTCAGGGGTGGGGCTCTAATTGGTTTGACGGTTGCTAGGGTCAACAGGGCTGTGATTGGCTTACTCTGTTTATGCGCCCACCCTCTCCTGGAACCCTCCGCGGAGGTAGATTTTGCTCCCTCTGAAGTCTGGCGCCGTTGTACACAGCGCATACACGCGCACACGCGTGTGTGTGTGTGTGTACTCACACATGCACAAGGACATGCTTGCCTGTACATTTAGCACAAGCAGTGAGGAGAGGATGTGATGCTCGGCGCAGTGACAAAGTGGCAACTTCTGGACTCTGTCGTGGAATCACACTGGAACCAGGTAAATGACATTTGTCTCCTAATCGTCCCTACTCTCCAGAAGTCACTGGAAAACAATGGCCTGGATTTATTCAGAGGAGGAGGAAGAACTGGCTGGGTCCAGCGACGTCCTGCTGTCCTGACTAGCACGCTTGGAAGGAGCTAGGCCCTTGGGGTTTGGTCCATGCGCTAAGGTCCCTGCTGCCAATCTCGCTCCCGAGGTTCTTGGGGAGAGCGCCCCTGTGTTCTTACTTCGTTTCTCATTTCTCTGGTCTTCACTTGTCTCCTAAGAACCCTAAGAACGTCTCTTTGGCCAAACACGAATGATCTCATATGCATGCAGATCTTTTTAGAGTTTACAAAGTACCTTCACATTCACCCTCCCATTGAACCCTCCTGAGAGGCGGCATTCACATCATTCCCATTTTTCAGAGGAGGAAAATGGAGGCCCAGATCAATGAAATGAACTCTTGCACCTTAGGGGCAGAGTCAGATCTCTGGGCCTCCCAAGTGTCCCCGCAGTGCTTTTGAAGAAGACTGTGCTGCCTGTGTGTGGACAGGGCCAGAAGGGAGGAGAGCCTGCAGCAATGTGCAGAAAGGAGATTCTCTGTTGGCTGAACTCTTCCTGTCTGGATGCTGTGCCTCCCCGGGGAAAGTGGGGCGGGCTTGAACTTTGGTTTTTCAGAAGCTATTCGAATGCACTGCCCACACAGTCTGTGAGGGAGAGCTGTTTCCAGCTTCCCCACTCAGCCCTCGGGCGCCCGGGGACGCTTGTCCTATCTGCAGGGCAGTGGCATGTCATTGGCAGCAAGGATTGGAGTGGGGGAGTAGGCTGGGCTGCGGCTGGGCCCCCGTTGTCATCCTGCCAGCACTGCCCTGGTGACCAGGGTCACCCCGATGCCATTTAAGCTAGCAGAGGGGAAGGGGTCTGCAGGGCCTATAGGGGAGGGGCCCCGGAAGCCGGTGTGCCAGGGGACATCCCTAGCTGAGAGTCTCTTGTCGGACCCTCTGCAGGGAGGCTGTTATCGAGCAGAGAAGAGAAACAAGCATTGATTGGGCGCCAAGTTTACATCACATTGGAACCTCACAACAGCCCCAAGAGAAAGGGACTATTGCTATCTCCACGTTACAGACTGGAAAATCAGAGAGGTCACCGACTATGTGGCTGTAAAGCCCAAGGTCTTGCTCGGTGGGGCAGGAGGGCAGGAGTCCTTCCTTAGTGGAGGACCAGGTAGGGCTGCTTCTACAAAGCTGGGCTCCTTGAGAGATATATGGAAAGAAAATCGGCATGGGAGTCACGGCGAGGGACACCAAATGGTTTTGCAGGGAATTTTTAGAAGGGCACAGACAGGGAGCAGAAAAACTAGGATGGCCCAAAGAGCACACACACGTAGGCTCCCTATCCAGCCAGCAAGCTCTGCCCACATGGCCATGTTCGCTCTTCCCTCGTTCCCTTCTTCTAACTGCCCATCTGCTCATGCCCTTCCCTGGGGCTGCCGAGGTTCTGCAAACCATTCCCTGGGTTCCATATAGACACCCATCTGCAGTCCACCCCCTTCTCCCAACCCCAAGGAATATGACAAATGCCTTCAAAACTGAACATTTCAGATTGTGAAACTCAATCCCATGTCAGGGAGCAGGGGGTTGGGGGGCATGCTGTGACAATCTCTGAGCAGACAGCTGGCCCTACATTGCTTAAGCTGTCACCTCTCCTCTGTGAAGTTGTCCCTGAGTCTTTGGGCACAGTTTCCTCCCCTGCCCCAGTCCCTGTTGCTTTGCTGTATGACTGTTTCTCTGCACATCTCTTCCCTACTGGATGGGGAGCTACAGGAGAATAGGGACTGAGACTTAAGTCCCAAAGATCAAGGACAATCGGTGGCACATATCAGAGCCTCAACAAATGCTTGTGGCAAGGACAAACAACAGTAATTGCATCTACTATTTATTGAATTCCTATTATGAGTTAAGCCCATGCTTTGGCATACATTATCTTTAATATATACAACAACCACACAAGACGAATTTTAGTATCTTTGTATTGCAGATTGCAAAACTGGGCTCTGAAAGGTTAAGTCATTTGCCCAAGGTCACACAACAAATAAAAGGAGGTTCTATGAATCAAAGCATCCCTAAGAAGCTTCCAGCTTGGTCTATCACTCCAGAGGTTGCTCCCTTATCTTCCAGACGCAAACAGACACAAAGTTCCGTGATCCTGGCTCCAAACTATCTCTCGAGTCAGTCCCCTCCCCTTTCCCTGCTGCCACTGCTCCAGCCTAAGCCTGCATCATCCTTCACTGGGAGCAACCTGCAAACTGGGGTTCCTGTCTCCAGATGTGCCCCACCCCCAATCCTCCTCTTGGCTGGGGGATCATCTTACACCAAAGACCTGGTGATTTCTCTTTCCCCTGAAATATTCCACACTGCCCTGTAGTTTCCAGATAGAGCAAATGTTAGAAGTGTCTTCAGAACCCAACACCTGCCTCCCTCTATGTGTCACCTCTGGTCCCAGCCCCTCTAAGCTCTGGCCTCTCATCCCTGAATTCTGCACAGGTGTTACCTAGGCTTCCTGGGAAAACAGAAACCCCTTCCTGCCCTCCACGGTCCTCTCATCCCGAGACCCTCAGCGCAAGCAGCAGAAGGCAGCCCCAGGTCTAAGCTGGGTCCTACAACATCCCGACTCTTGTTCCCTGTCCCATTAGACCGTGAGCTCCCAAGGGACTGTGTTCGGTCTATCCTTTGTGCCCAGCATCCTGGCTATTGTTGGGCATATAAGACATGCTCAGAAAACTGTTGTTGAAACCTCTTGACCTCATCCATTCCCCTGGTTCCTCGAAGCTCTACCCTTTGGCCCCGTTCTCTCGAATCCTCTAGTACCCACAGTTTCTTAGCCATAACCCTCTCCCCTGCCCTCCCTGTCCCTTCCTGCCTCTGCCCGGCCTCTCTGCCCCCTGTGTTATTATCATACACGTAGATTATGGAGCCCGGCAGCCTACTAACCCCAAAGTCTGGAGGCTCTGGATCCATCCACTCTTTGCACCTCTTCAGCACTAGGCAGATTTCTTTTTCCAGAGGGCATGTGCCCAGGAAATCTGCATGCCCTGGCAGAGAAAAACAGAGGTAGCAGAGTTGGGAGGCCCTTTGTAGGGTGCCCCTGCTGACTACCCACAAGTCACTCACCTGCAAGCGCCTGGGGTCTTCCTTCTTTCTGCATCTCCAGCCCTCCTGGAGTCTGGAGTGACCCCGTGTTGTAGGCTGGATGCCAGCTGGTGGCGGAGGGCAGGTGGTGGTACTGAGAGATGGACCTCAGGCCCATGGCTTCCAGAAAGGAAACACATCCACACTGTGGACCACCCTCCTCAAGACACACTCTCCCACACACCGTGAGGACCCCCAGACTGCAGAGGTCATGCCCACCGGCAAGGCAGAGGGCACAGACCTCTTTGGTTTGGTGCCCATACGATCTGAGATACCACGCCCTCTCCTCACAGCCTTCAGGAGGAAGCAGGGCTGGGTGGGGCCCAGGTGGGGCCACTGTGCCCTTCACTGCTTCCCCGTCTTTCTCGGATCTCTGAAGTTAGATGGCGTGGCCATTAGCCTGGGTCCTAATTGTGGTTTGCCACTAACTCTTTGTGGGAAGTTGGGCTAGTCCGATCTCCTTCCTGGGCCTCAGTTTCCCCTTCTGTAAAATGAAAGCTGGACCAGCGCTAGCTATTCTGTAAGGTCTCTTGGATGATTCTCAGTTGGCCTGTGGGGTTTAATTCCAAAAGGACAAACTGAATTACCCTTCAGGGTAGGAAATGGGGGTGATGGCTAATGGTGAAGCTTCACTGAAGCCCCAGAGAGGTGGGGTCAACCAGGTGGGAGCTTGGTCCCAAAGGGTAAGTGACAAGTCCCACTGGAGAGGGCAGAGGGAGAACCCCAGGGCTACTGTTGCAAGAACACTAAAGGCAATTATGGCTAACAGGACAGGCCTGTGGGCATTAGCTCCTGGGGTGCCCGGTGCTGGGATCCAGGGTCAGACTCAGAAGGTGGGAAAGCTACCTTTAGAGAAAGGCACTGTCAGCAAATCACCCCTGGTGGTCTGGCCCCAGTCCTGGGGTGCTCCGATCCAGAGGGGCTCATCGCCTAGTCAAGGCTGTCCGGGCCAGCCCCAGAGGGCTGGCAGAGGCCAGGCCTAGGAACAAAAACGGAAGAGGCACTTGGACCCTGGTTCCCAGAGTGGGAGAAAGGGGTGGGCACCCGGGCAGAGGGAGCCCTGGGGATTGGCAGCGGCTGTGGGCAGGGCGGGAGGGACGGGGGAGGAGTCAACTTGTACACGTGAAAAACTCTGGCGGGGGCTGGGTTTTTCCCTTCCTCCTCCTCCTCCTCCCCCTCCCTCCTCTTCCCCACCTTCCTCCACCCTCCCTTCCCCTCCCCTTCTCCCTCCTCCTCCTCCTCTTCCTCCCCCTCCTCCTCCTCCTCCTCCTCCAGCTCAGGTTGCAGCTTCTCTGGGGAGCCGCTCACCTTTCCGGAGCAGGGGAAGCAGCCCCGAGCCCGGGCAGGGACCCCAGCAGGGCGCAGGGCACGGCGCCCAGCCCCGCGGCACCCCGGCTGTCGCGGGCGGGAGCCGGCGCGCCGCGGCCCCCAGGACTCGCGCGGTGAGTCCCGCGGGCGACGCGCAGTGTCCGGAGGGCTGGGCGGGCGGCGCGCCGGGGGAGGAAGGGGGCGGTCGGAGGAGGGGGCACCGCGGCGCCGGGTAAACCGAGCAAAGGTAAGCGGAGCGGCTCTTAAAGGCGCCGGTCTGCTTTTGCCCTGGGGCGGGAGGTTGGAGGGAAATGCCGGAGCGCTGCAGGGAGATCGGAGATCACGAGGCGTGCGGGCTCGCGTGCTGGGGGTGGGTGAGGCCCCGAGCAGGCCCCTCCCCAGTTCCAGGTGCGCCGGTTTGCCTTCGCAGATCCCCCCCTCCCCCGGCGAGTGTCCGCCGGGACTCCCTCCGGCCCCCGGGCTCCGGCCTGAACCCGAGGAAGCAAAGTTTTCCACCCAGGTTCAGACCAGGCGCTTTCCAATCGCCCTTCCTTCTGGGAAGGGCAAGGGTCGGGAGTCTCCGGTGACGGGAGAACCCGCGCGAGTGTGCGGCCAGATCGCGCCTTGAAGGGCTTTCTGGGCTCCGGTGAACTTTCCAGAGTGACAGGCTGGAGGGTGGGAGACCAGAGCCCCGGGGTGAAGGTGGAAGGACACGCGAAGCCCTGCAGGTTCCAGCTTGGGGGCGGTGGAGGCGGACTGGGGCCTCTGGGATTGCGGCCTCTGCTCTGACCCCCCCAGGAGACCACAGGGGCCGCGGCCCCCACCCCGCAGCGGCAGGAGGCCAAGGGTTAATAGAGCGGTGGGGGGGGGGCGGCGGGTGGCCTGTTGCGCTGTGTGGCTTGAGGATTCTGCTGTATGGGGGCGGGGGGGGAGGGGGGGGCAGGATCAGAAATCTGGAATCTGAAATCTGAAATCTAAAATCGGTCCGGGCTGGAGGCCTCTCTTCTCTCCCTGTTGGTGGCCGGAGTTGTCTGCAGGCCCTGTGGGCGTCGGGCTGTTGAGACAGTGACCGATTTTCTGTGCTGTGGGGTCAGCACCCTCCTAGGCACCAGTGGCCTCTTTAATGCTCTCTGAACCCTTTCCTGACAGCAGGGGTAGGAAAGTTAGGGCTGGGTGAGGGGTGAGGGTCAGCACCCCAGAATCTCATCCCCACCCCCAGCCCATCCCTCTGCAGTTCCTCAGCTGCAGCCTGGGCACTGTGACTCACTGCCAGCTCCAGCTAGCCCCCCCTGGCCAGGACCCTGTGAGATGCAGGTGGCATTTTCCACTGGGCATGGGCACACAGCACATTGGGACACTGGGCTGGGGGACCAGAATCCTCGAGGATGCTGGGAGGACTGGCTGACAGGCTCACCTGCCTACAGAGATCCCCTACCTTTAGTCTAGCCTTGGGAGGGGGCTGGGACACATGGCTTAGGGTTGAGGGGAGGCAGAGTTGGTCCCAGGCAACAGTGGCTTCTGGGTTTGGGTCTGCATCTTGAAGGCGGTCTGGAGAGAGGGGCACCTTGCCACAGCAAAGCTACTGGCTCAGATTACTCTGCCCCAGCCACCTCCTGTGCAGCTGATGAGCCTGTGAGGCTGACCTCCCCCCACCCCTGCAAACTCACCGCCCCGTTAGGTTCCTAGGACTCTCCCCACTGGCCACCCATGCCCCTCCAGGAGAATGGAGCCCTCATTCTTCCCATATGTATGGGGGTTTCCAGAGCCAGAGTGGACTCAGTCAGTTACATCTGAATTCTGAATGCCTGGGTGGCTACCAGTTTTAGAATATCTGCTGGGTGCCCAGCAGTGTGTCCCACAGCTTCATAAAGTAGGCATTGCTGTCCCATTTTATAGGCAAGGAAACAGAGGCTCTAAGAGACCCGCTTTCCGCAAGTCTTATGTAAGTGGGATCCAGCCCACTTCCATCTGACCCTGCCTGAGCTCCCTGCTCACAGTCCCTGCCCCATCAGGGGAGATCCTGGCCCGCTCTGGAGTTCTCTGGTTCGACATCAGTCCTCAGGAGAAGGAAGGATGGGTGTGGTGCTCTGGGTAAGGAGGCTCCGGCTTGTTCTGTGCCAGGCAGAGCCAGGCTTCTCCGTGGGTCGCAAGAGAGGAGACACCAGATCCGGGGAACAAGTAGGTTCTTGGTCTGAGATCTCATGGGATCCAGCTGCCTGCCCGGGAAGCCACCCCCTGAGTCCCAGGGGACATGATGCTGCCTTTTGGGCTGCACTTGTTTTCTCTGTAGACCCAGACTCTCTCGTCTGCCGACATGCCCCATGCTATAGGGCAGAGCCTGGCTTGGTCTCCCCAGCTTCTACCCCAACCATGCCTCTTCTTTCTGGGGTCACCTGTTTGGGACTTTTGTCCATCATCTCTATCCATCCCTCCCGATTCCTTTCCTTCCCTGAGTTTGAAACCTAAAGGGGAGGGCGAACCAGGGTTTTGCTGGAATCCAGGTCCAGAACGTACTAGCTGACCTCCTCTCCCCAGCAGACTCCTGAGCTGCTCCGAGCCTCAGTTTCCTGATCTGTGAAATGGGAGTCATCGCAGGGCGGGTTGTTAGCGGAACTAAATGAAATAACACATAGTGCCTGGCATGTAGCAGATGCCCAATGATTAGCTGAATCGTGCATGGTTATTTGGGAAGGAAATTTCCCAGTTATGACACCATGCCTGGCTCTGAGGTAGAGAAAAAGGCCGGCTTTCCTAACCCCAGCAGGCTGGGCCCTGAGCATCTTTCCTGCCCTTCCAGCTAGGGGAAGAAGGGGTGGATGGAAACCTGCCAGGAGGGGACCAGGAATCTATGTTGTGGGGACTCTGCGCTCTAGTTTCTAGCATGAGCGAGGTGGGCACTGGAAGCTGGAAAACCTGCAGCCTCTGGCTCCAAGGGGCCCCCGGCCAGGCTTCCTTGCCCTGGGGTAAGAAGACCCTCGCTTACGACTTAACTAATCGCAGTCCCTCTTCTGCTCTGTTGTCTGTGAGGGAGTAGCTGGCCTGGGTCCAAACTCACCTGATTATCTTCACCTCATTTTTTGGGAACAAGTCACATTTCTGTTTTGTAGCCCTGTGTCCTGCCCTCACCTCACCTCTCCTCTCCCCGACCCTGGACCCTTTGCCTTTGCCCCGCTGGCTTCAGCTGCTGAGTGGGCGCTTTGCCATCTCCAAGGGGTGGGAGCTCCCCAGCATTAGGCTTGTCTTGTCCTGGTCTCCACAGCTGTGTACATACCCCTAGAACCCAACTCTAAGGCCGGGGCCAACGGTGGTTCGGGCCAAGGGCCTGGGGCCCAGGATCATCATAGAGCTGGGGGCTGGGCCCGGCGGGATCTGGCCAGTGGTGCTGGCGGATCAAGAAGAGGGAAAGCTGTAGGCGCATCTCAGCCAGGACTCCTGTCTGAAGGAGAGCCCATCTGCTTCTGAAATCTTCACAGTTTCATCTGCAGGGGAGGAGGGATCGGGAGGCAAGTATGAGGTTTGACTCGCAACCAGAAAGGGTCTTAAAGCTCCTTGCAGGCATGAGTGTCCCTGGTGAGACAGGGCACCCTGGGCAAGGAGACGTCGGCCAGAACTTTTGGAGGGACAGTGGTGAGACCCTCTTTCTTGGAACGGTGGACCAGGGTCCCACCCTGTGCTCCCACCCCACCTACTGACATTAAATCAAATCTTCCCTGGAATTGGCGGGGTGGGAACAGACAAGGTGACTCTGTAATGGCCACCCGGTGCATTCATTCATTCTTTACATGCGAGCGCCCGCCTTCTGTCCAGCATGGGGGGCGGTTTACCAACTTGGGGTTTGGCTCCAATCCTGCCCCTGCGGCTGAGTGAGGTGCCTCGGGCGCAGGACCTTGCCCACCCAAGCCTCAGATTCGTCAGTGAGAAGATGGGGAGAGTGGGAGGGTTACACGTGCCGGGAGGATGTCAGTAAAGGCAGTGGCCACCGCACTCCCGGCTTCTTGCCTCATCTCGTGTCATTAGCAAGGGTCAGTAGCCCCCCCGAGTCACTGGGCTGCACGTGGCAGTTCTCAGTAACCTGGCTTCTGCTTGGTCCCTGTAGAAACCATGGCTTAGGCCTCAAAAGGGGGAAGGGAACTATTCTTAAAACGTTTCTAGTCTCCCTCATGCCAAGGACCTTCTGCATTTTATTGTTATTGTGGTAAGTTCTGACAAAATTCCAGAATGATTTCTGTCTTTACACCCTTGCTTCCCTAAAGGAGCCTACCCTTCCTTTCCTTTGTGGGGCAGGGGTGGGGGGGAGGGTCCCTTCAGGAGCCAGGGCTGCTTCTCTCCTCCGGCCCCAGGTATCCAGCAAAGGATTCAGTGCCTGAAAGCAGGTAGGAGGTAGGTCCTGTGCCCGAGGGTATCACTCATAACGTCAGCAGTGCTGGGTCTCCAGACCACCTCTGCAAGCAGGGCATGGGATGAGGCCAGACGAGGGGTCCCAGAGCCCCTCCCTGTTCCTGGCCCGGAGCCCAGCTGGCGGTACCCCTCACTGTGGCTGGGCCGGGTGCCATGCGCTGGGCTGAGCCACAGCTCACGTTGCTTCTTCCCTAGGCAAGGTGGTCCTTGAGTGGGCTGCCGATTGCCCTGGTGACATCGCCCCGTGGCAGGGGTGCTATCTCTGGGCAGCTCCTCGCAGTCCCCAAAGGATCAAAGGGAGCATTGAAGTCACAGTCACAGGCCCTCAGTTCTGGTCCCAGCTCTGCCCCTTCAACCTGCGTGGCCTTGGGCAGGTCATTCCCCTTTCTGAGTCTTGCCTTCTTCGCGTGAAAAATGAGGGCACAGACCAAGGGATTTCTAAAGCTCCATCCAAGATGACGGGTTTGTGGTTCCAACTTTTACCAATCCTGCTGCTAAGGTGAGCAGTGCTCTGAGACTCCGGGAGGGACTGTGCCCTCCGTTCTTTAAACTCTGGAGCACAGACAAGGGCTTCCCCCAGCCAAGGCCTGCGAAGCCGGTCCCTGCCACGGCTGGGATGACCGAGGAAACCCTGGAAGGCCTCCCCACTGTCAGTTAAGAGGAGAAAAAGAACCTCCCAAAGGAGTGGGTGCTGGATTCAAATGCCGTACAGACACTGGACGCTCAGGGGCAAGCC